TCTAACTGGTGAGAATGGCTGCAGGATGGTGCTTATGGCTAGTATATAACCTTGTAGGAAATAGCCACAGAAGGAACAGAAATATTTCATCCCATGTTATAGCAGCTGCCATACTTTCATATCCCTATACTGACTTTTTTTCAGAGAAAGTCCCATATCTCCCTCCCCTTAGAAAGTCCCATAACTACCATCTCCTTAGAAATTCTTCAGAAAATATTCTACCCTAAGTTGCATTATTTTTGAATTCCTATTACCTATGACAAACCCTGTCAGGTATGGAAGTAGAATTAATCATGGAGATGAAGAATTATAGTTTATCCAGTACCTATTAAATGACAGACAATTTGAGTCTCAAGGAGACTGAATTTCTTATATTAGGTCACACAATTAGTGAAGGGCAGAGCTAGCTGTGTTTGAGTTCAGATCTATCTGTCTACAAAGATAATCCACAAATGGAAAAATAAAACTTTTAAATGGCTGTTTTTATTCAGAACATCAAAAACTCCCAAAGATTGGAACCATTTATAGAACCTAAACACTAGATATATAATGCCATTGACTCAAACGAATAGATGATATATATGTCAAGGTGTACAGCATTGACCTTCAAATAACTACATTTTATAGAAGCAAGCCCATGTTTTCTTCCATTGCTGTGGTACTACCTATGATGCATGGGTATAGATTCAAGTCACATAAAATGAGTGTGATTCCTTAAACCATCCTATCTATTGTTATAACACCAAGAAATTAATTATTGCCTTACTGGGTAGGACTTTACAATTCAGATCCCTTTGATCTTATTTGGAAGTCTTTATATTTCTAAATTGTTTAGAAATTGAAACATTCTGAAAAGAAAATGTGCGTAATTTGCCTGAGTCTTTCTTTCAGTGTTAGTGATCTATTTTAAAACAAAAGGCCAGAGAATGGGGGAGTGCCGAGACATGAGATGCTCAGGTCTTACATTGTTGGCTTTAACTCTGAAAGAGAGCTGCCTGGACCAGGAGCACCACCTCTTAAAATAATGAAACTGTAATCAGCATCAGGGATGTTGATGTGGGTATCAAGTGATGGATGCATAGAAAAGTTGTTTTACCTGAGAAAATATGACACTGAAGTCAAATCTAAACTAGCTAAAGCTAATGAGCTGGAGTTACATGGAGCAAGTAATAGGTTTTCTATCCCCCAATAATAAGTTTCTCCACAGATGCAGTAAGCCAGATATAGCTGAACTGAAAAAGTATAACAATAGGTTTATTTAAGCAGAGCAACTCCCTGGTGGGTTCACTGGTTCCACAGATCAAGGCCAGAGAAGTCATGCCCCCAGATGAAAGCAAGGGAGATTTTATGGGTTGTAGGCAGGGGTGATGGCATGTCCGCAACAAGCTGGATTTGTGCCTAAGTGTGGTCAAAAACTGAATGCTTAGGTGGGGACTTGGGCAGCTGACAACTTCAGGGGAGGAATTCTGCAATAGCCATCAAGAATGCAGAACTAGGTTTTGTTTTGTTTGTTTGTTTGTTTGTTTGTTTTTTGATGCCTTTACTTTGTTCAGAGACTCTCTGAATGGGCAGGGTTGAAGAGGAAGGGAGGGAGGGAGGGCGGGAAGGGAGAGAGAGCTCAATGGGGCTTTCCATATTTCAGGGGAGAGCTGGAGGTTCCAACCGAACACCAGGGGCTTCTTCTAAAGAACCTACCTAAAATTAGGCTACTCCAAGAAGCAGCTTTATGGACAAGTCTTTTGTACCAGCTGTTAAAAGGATTTCTGCTGAAGATGGGATTTGCTCCATATAATAATGTGAGGAGGATGCTCATCACCCTTCAGTGTGTATTATGCTCCCATGAAGGGACTTCACATTTGCTTTTTGACTTACTGGCATGAGCTCGGGAACATCATTGGTAAGCACAAGACTCTGGAGAGATCAGTGTAAATTTGAATCCCTACCCTGCCATTTACTTGCTATAATTCTGTATTTCTGTGTAATAGTTTGACTCTTCCATAGCCCTTGTAGGTCTACAGGTTAATGTATTTGTCTCCAGCATGTCATTCCTGCAAGGTGGTAAAGCCTAAGAAATGGGGCCGAATGAAGGTTTTACGTAGTTGAGGGAGTACCTCTGAAGGGCATACTGTAGCCTTTCTGCAATTATGAAGTGAGCAACATGCTCAATCCTGTGCTCCCTGTCATGATATGCACCTGACACTAAGCTCCAAAGCAATGGGCACAAGTGACTGAAATCCCTAAACCATGGCTGAAAGTAAAGTGTTCCTCCATCTAGGTTGTTTCCCTCAGGTATTTGTTGCAGTATCAGAAAACAGAAAGATGATTAACACACTTAGTTTCTCTACTTACAAAATGAAGGAAAGAATGGTAGTGCTTCCATTTTGGAGAAATCTATGAAACTTCATGTGTAGAGGATTGGTACTGTTCTTACTGGCTATGTGGGGGACTGGCATCAGATGTCTCCAACAGCAGTGGTGGTTCAGTGGGATAAAGTTACAAAGGGATTCTTCCTACCAATGATAATGTCCCCAAACTTCTGGAACCCTGTGGCTTAGCTGGAGGATTGTGTCAGACTGTCTTGCTTAGCCCTTGGTAGTAAATCTGAAAATTTATCAAGTCACCCATCTCAAAGTGTGTGAACAGTTGTTGTGTTCCAGGAATCTGTAGCACCTATTTACAACACCGAGATGGTTGCTGGAAAGAAGGGGTGCCATGGGCTCCAGATGAGTTCCTGGGAGAGAAAAGGCTGTAGTCTGGCCTTCATTCTGGGTCAGCACTTCTCTAGTGGCTTCCAGATGCATCTGAGTACAGTTTTAATCTCCACATCAGTCAGAAGTCTCATTCATTCCATGTTAAACCCTAAACCAGAAAATGAACATTGCTTGTTTCTGTGTCTTTGCCTAGTAAGATTTCGAAGTTTACATAAAGACTTGACTTTCTTTGGGAATTTCCCTATTGGGTATACGATGTCCAAATTTAATTAAAATCCATGCCGTAGGCTTTAAACTCCTTTAGTGAGTGAAAATGATAGGAAAGCCCAGATATTTTTTATTAGGTTTAATGTCGATTGAGTTACAGCATGTGCTATGACTGAGTTCCCTTGGAGCACGCTGTGCATTCTGCTATGCCACCTGGCTAGGAAACAAACACGAAGGATTTGGCTCTGATAGGAATAGAACCTCTGCCTTAGAGAAAGAGAATGGCATTCCTCATGAAAACATGGCAACTTCAGGCATTTTATTGTCCTGCCCTGAGAGTCTCTATTCTTTCCAGGAAAGGAAGAAGTAAAAATATCTCTGTGGAAATGGAAAACAGCATTTGCTGCTTCTTCTTTTTTTTTTCTTTTCTACTTTCCTAATAGAGTGTTCTCCCTGAAGCATAGCAAACGTAAGTGTAAGATGTTTTAGAATAGATAAGAAATGACTACTTTTAAGAGCTAAAAACATTAATGTGAGAAGAAAGTCGTGGGCCACACTCAGAGTACATCAGAAAAGGATTCCAGGTCATTAGACAGGGCCAGCCATCATCACAGAGGGAGGCAGTGTGGCTCTGGGCCATAGGCACTGGCTTCTCTTTGTCTTGGGAACTGAATTGCTGAGTGGCCTCCAGGAACTTAATTAAGTTCCCAGATTCTTCTTTTGACAAATCCAGAATACAAACAATGACCACCATAGCCTGGTACTATTGAATTCCTATGAGAGCAGAGCATTCTACAATGAGAATTCTATATGAGAGCTGGTAATTACATAGAACAAAAAAACAGTATGCTGACTGGAGCAAATGGGCCAGGTGGCTAACTTGTAATGTTTCAAAGGATAGTGAAGACTTATAAGTTGTGTGCTGGGGAAAAAGATAGATTTATGGTTATTTGGAAATTCATGGCTTTGTCAAAGACTAGGCTTAAACATGAAAGTCAGCAGGCTGTATGTGGACAGCTAGGTAACTGCCACTGTAATTTGGGTGTGTCATTTCTGTTTCTTCACAAGACGTCAGATAAATGCTTTCAGGAATGTACTAGTGAGAGCCATTTGAAATTTAGGAGAAATGTCAGCAGGCAGGTTTGAGGCTAATCACAGGCAGTGACACAGATGAATGCTGGGTACAGTGGGAGCAACACTGATACAAAGGAGCCATTTCTGAGAAGCCAGAGCTTCAAAGGAAATAGCCCACAGCATAGAGGCTGACACCGAGCTAAATGAATAATGAAAAATACAATAAGGACCAAATCTGACAGGGATTTGAATTATATGCAAGGAAAGTATTTCTGGAGAAAATGAGGTGGTAAGAAGGGTTTGGTACAAACTGAAGAATTCATAGCTAGAGTGGCTCACAACTTCTATCATTTAATAACTGAAAAGATTCAGCCTCTATGAGATGGTGGTTAGTGGGAAGTATAATATAAGGATATATTTTTTTCCTGAAACTTGAGACTTCGTGGTTGTTTCTATGTGCTCTGTCCATTCAAGTGGAAGAAGACTCTAACCATCATGGAGGCTTGTACCGATGCTAGGGAAACTGTGCCCACCCATGAAGAGCCAGGAACAACTCCACACTTCACATATACTTCTTCTTCACAACATGAAATACCAGCTGAGCCCAGGCATCTCCGCACCTTAGTCTCTCCTGTCCAACAAGACCTTGGAAAGTGATGCCTTTGAGTTTCCAGCTGCATCACTGGGGACCAAGACTCTCTGCACTAGCACTCCTATGCTGGAGACAGGACATTAAGAGGAGACAGCCAGGCTCAGAGGTAGATGTACAGATGCAATGTGGTGGAGCTATGGAGAGGCTGGAGCAGGGTCAAGACTGGTGCCTTCATGAGCCTTTGCCACTGAAAGCGTAGCTGACCATGTCTCCAGTACAGTCACTTGTCTTACTCCCATGGGATACCCAGGGGCTATCCACTGCTGTCATCCACTTGCTTTATGCAAGCTCCAAGAGAGTATTATCTGTGTAGGGAAAGGAGCCTAATTGTCCTTCTGAGCTTACTGTCTCCTTACTCTTTCTTGCAGCCTTGCCCCATGCTCATCTCATTTTTAAGGGACCTTCCATTTTTCCTTGAGGGACCAACATTATACTGTGCCCAGAATTTCTCTTCCCATTGAACTCTGGTCAACTTTCTTTTCACGTGGTCTGGAGCCTTTATTCTCTTCTGTGATGTTGTTTTCTCAGGAGGCTGCTGAGCCTACCCATAGGCAGACCCTGAGTGTGCTGGATTGACATCTGTGTAGGTATGGTCATTCAAAGACCCCAGCTGCAGAGAGCAACACCTCACAGGCTTCCTTGAAGTTTCCTGAGGTCTAATGTTCACGAAATATCTGATTTTCTTAGGCTGGTAAGCACAGTAGCCTATTTGTCATTCTTCTCTCCCCCTTACACATCCTTATTATTTTAGAAGATATCAACATACTCAAAAATAGTACCATGGAAATTGAGGGATATCCTAAAGTTGCCTAATGTAGAGCTTTCAGAAGGCACATTCTCATTTCACAAAACATTACTAAAAGTTCTCTTGCTCTAGCTAAAATCAAGGTGACTTGCTGCCCTGTTGACGCCTGCCAAATTCTGCCTTTATGCTTTCTTTCTTTTTCATCCAATAGCTTCTCCCAGACTCCTACTCTTACATCTAAGTAGCCTTGACTCCAATGCTGTTTTGAGACTCACTTCAGCAGAATGTGTACTTTTACCAATTGGTACAAATAATTTGAATGATGGTCACAGTTCTATGCCTCTGTGGAAAGCCTGCCTTGTCGAGTTTCTGGCTATTCAGCCATCTCCATGAAGTATAAACCATACCCCACAAGTACGTGTGTTTGAACACTTGTTCTCCAGCTACTGGAACTGGTCTGGGAGATTGTAGAACCTTTTAAATGTGAAGCCTAACTGGAGGTAATAGTAAGAGATCACTGGAAGAGGAAGGCCTTGAGAGCCATATCCTGGCTACACTTCTAGCCCAGTCAATCTGGCTGGCCCATGAAACAAGAAAAGCCACAGAGAACCACCAATTCCCATTCCTTCTCTGCCAGAATAGATGCTTCCCTGTAAACAATGAGCTAAATTAAATCTCCCCTTTAACTCCTTTCTGTCAGATATTCTGTTGCAACAGTGAGAAGAATAATGAATACAGAATTTTTCCCCAACATCCTGAGGAATGAGATGTTTTGCCCTCCATGGAGTCTGACATATAATGCAGCAGGGTTCCACATTAGCAGAGATGAACAGATAGAAAAACAGAACACAATGCCACAGTCATATGGCTTGGGATAGAGATTTCTTTTTCCTCATTAGAAACAAACTTCTTAATACCTTTTGGGCATTTTCTCGGGAGAAATTTATGTTTTAGGTTCAATTTCTCAATCCCAATTAATTATCAGTCTGGATGAAGACAAGCTTTCTTAAATATAAATAAATATATTTAAAGTTTCTTTATATGTCTGCCTTAGTCACTGTTCTATTACTATGAAGAGATACCATGACAAAGACAACTATTATACGAGGATTTAATTGGGGATCCCTTACAGTTTTGGAGGTTTAGTCTATTATAATCATGATGGGGAGCATGGCAGCAGGCAGGCAGGCACTGGCGCAGTAACTGAGAGCTACATCCTGACCCAGAGGCAGAAAGAGAGAGTCTGTGCTTGGCATGGACATTTGAAACCTTAAAGCTCACCCCAGTGACATTCTTCCTGCAACAAGGCCCCACCTCCTAATCCTTTCAAATTGTGCCACTTCTTGGTGACCAAATCTATGAGCCTATAGGGGCCATTCTCATTCAAACCACCACCATGGCTAAGGGTAATCCTTTTGTCATTTAAACAAAAGTAGTACTGGCTATTGCCAAATCAAAACTTCTTCCAAAGACCCTTCCTTTACAAAAAATCCTTTGTGAAAATTATTGTTTTTAAAACTTGGTATGGAGTGCGTACTTTTACTTGTTTCCTAGAAAACAATAGAACTTACACTGATTATTGAATAAATAAATAAATATATATATATATATGAAATATGTATACATATAAATACATACAGTTTTTTTCAAAAGTTTTCTTCTAAGTAGTCTGAAGGTGACTTTGTTGCAGATAGTGTCTTTGGGACATAAGAAAGCCCTAAGTGTCCAGAGACAACTTAAGAAAGCCTGTTTTCCTTCCTGTCTGCTCAGTATTTATAGAAGACAAGAAAGAAAGACATAAAGAAAAGCAAGTGCCCCCAAGCTTATAAATGATTCCACATCTGGCAATCATGCAAGCCACAAGATAATAGACATTTGGGAATTGGCATAGTTCTTTTCTGGATAACCGAGGGGACAAAGGCAATAGTTCAGCATCTTGTCCTCATTCATTTTAGAAAGGATAGATAGTGTCACAGAAAAACAATCTATACAGGAGCCCTTGAACAAACAATTACAAGCATCATAAAGCAAGCAGGTCTGGAATCGATCCCAGCAGCCATTTCCCATTCTCCCTCTTCTTTAACTTTGCCTATTAGGTGGTTTGTGGATTTAACCTTCTGTGAGTGTTCTTAATGGTATGGTATCAATTTACCTAGGTAAGAAATGTCTACGCCCATTTCCCTCTCAATAAAGCAAAATATCACATCATTAAGTTGTTTTTCTCTGTGATTTGTGGTTAGACTAAACAGAAGAAGGAGAGGGGTGATGGCAAGACCAGGTACCTTGTGTGTGTGTGGATCACCTATACACCAAGAACGTGACTCAGTCTTTTGTTGTTTTATTTTGGTCTGGTTTTTCTGAGGCATGTCTCACTAAATTGTTCTGGCTTTCTTAGAATTCACTTATGTAGACCAGACTGACCTCAAATTCACATGGATCTGCCTTTCTCTGCCTCTGAAATGCTGGGATTAAAGGTGTGATTCACCAAGCCTGGCCTATAACTAAATATTTTAATTTAAAAATAAATATCATGTTTTATTTGCTAGTACACACACACACACACACACACACACAGACAACAAGATGATATTTTCTTTATAATTGTGTGACAAGTTTCTTCTCATACCCAATCACAATTCAGGTGATGGTGATGTCTCTAACATCTACTATCCTCCTGTGATTTCAGGATAAGGGACTCTCACAGTTGACTAATTTTTCATGGGCCTATTTAAACTCATTGTACTTGGCCACACGCTGGACATTATATTAGGACATATATCCACTTTGATGTAACTGTAGGAGAAATTTCTCAGTGAAATAATTCTAGAGTGAATGAACTCATCAGGGCATGAGCTGGACTTTATACTTTATACTTCCATAGTTTGTATTAATGGGACCTCTTCTACCAGCTGTTAAAGACCCTGTATAACTGACCTATATCCACCTTAATCTCTTTTACCATGTGCCTTCTTCCTAAGGCTGCAACCAGAAAGACCTATTTTTATACCATAAACCATCTTCTTGCTTCAATGTCCTTTATCTAACACTTTTCTTCATCTTTCTATATTTCCTCTAAACCTCTATCAGACTGACTTCTTTATTATTTAGATGTCAGTTTAAAGATCATTTTCCCCAAAGAGACCTTCTTTAACCACAGTAAACATACCTTTTCATTTCACTACTCTCTACACCATAACCCCACTTTTTGTGGGGGATCAGTGTAATCAGGGTGACTTATTTCACTGCATATTTATGGTCAGCCTCTTCGGAAATCTGATCTAGTGGTCTTTGCCTTACAATGTTATCTGCTGCTGCATTCCCAATGCCAAGAAGAAGGTTTGAAACAGAGTAGATATGATAAATATTTAATGAATGAATTTATGAATATACAAAGGTGGATTGTGTGTTAAGCTCCTAGTTGCAGTGTTAAGTCACTGTCAAATACTGAACTGGATAGGTACTATTATTGTGTTATCTTACTTGCTACATGCGTTCATCTACTGTTTTATAAAATCTCCATAGCTGTTCTTTAAACAAAGCAGAATAATATGTTCTTCTCATGTTAAGAAAATTCAGAAATGAGTATCAGGGGAGCAAGGAATCTAGATGCCATCATTTTATTCTTCCATTCTCATGTTTCAGATGGCTACTGTAGTTTCTGAATCATTTCTCCTATGCAAGCAAATTAAAGAATAAATGAGCAAAGGAGTGAATGAAATGCCTCCTTCCTTATAGTCCCAACAATACAGTTCATTCTCAGAATTTATAAGAAAACCAAGCAAATATAACCTAAAATAGCAATGTGCTTATCTCCAAACAAAAACAGGGATAGAGGGAGGGAGGGAGGAGAAGATGGAGGGAGGGAAAAACAGACAGACAGGCAGACAGAGAGACAGAGGGACAGAGAGAGACAGAGAATTTGTTTCAGAGAAGGAAGGAATAGGGAAAGTGACACTCCCAAAGTCACACAGATTACAGATTATAGACCTAAGATAGAAGCCAAGGCTTACATCACCCTACTTCCCCAAGAGCATCTAAACCTCCCCCAATACACTGATAGAACAGCTGTCCAAGACCCTCTGTAGAGGTACTGTTGGCAGACAAGCATGCCAGTGTGACATCTTCTATGTTTATTGTCTTACCAGAATCTGAGCAGTTTCCAATGAACTGTCAAGTAGACTGTGTAGTCACCACCCTTTGACCTCCTCAGCTCCTCTGAATAGACCTCTTCCTTTTGTTCCTTTATCCTAAAGATACTGACACCAATAATAGTTTTGGAGAATTTTCTTTTATTTGCCATGTACTCTACTTTTTTGCATCAAAATTAGTTTGGTTGGGTCTCAGAACAAAGCAAATAAGATTAGCCTGTTATTGAACCCATTTGTGAACTAGGTAATCTGTCAGATTTAGAGAGGTTAAATAATTTTTTGAAGTAAACCCAGAATTTGACTCCAATTTGCTTCACTTCTTGTAACAGCCCTACTCCATTTTAAGAACCACATTGCCTTTGATGCTCTTGTCTCGCTCATCATAATCACATTGAAACTGCATTTTGCTCATTCAAAACAAATGATTATCTGAATTGGAGAGAAGTCTGGGCTTTTGCTGTTGCTGTTTTAAGCGAGTTCTGCTCTTGTAGTCCTGTTTTAGGTGATTGAGGCTTGACAGCTTTGGCCACAAGTGGAAGAGCCTGGTTGTTTAAACACAACCCTATTTTCTCCTGGTATAGTAGCCTTTCTTGAGTTAGGGAGAGAAGAGGAAGTTCAATTTGTAAAGTTAGCAAAGATGGTGAATTTCTTCCTGGTTATTCTTCCTGCCCTTGGTGGGTATGTAGAGTCCTAAGAGTGGGAAATGTTGAACAAGAAAGTATGTTTTGGGCCATGAACCACAGAGCAATTGCAACAACTGAATGTTGGCTAGTCATCTGCTAGAGGGTGATATTACAACTGATGACCCACAGGCAAGAGAATCCTTGAATTATTAAAGAGATCTGTGCCTCTCAGGGTGAATGTAAATTGTTCCTATTGCTTCTGTGTTCCACAGTCTTCATAAACTATCACGGTAATGTATTCTGCCATGTCATTTTTCTCCAATTATGTGAACATTTTCAGGAATTCTGGGAGTAATGAGATATATATGGAAGATGCTTCAAAGAAATCATTTGGGGAGTTTTGAGCTGCAAAACTGATCATTTTCTCTGAAGTACAGCAGAACTCACTGCCTCAGCTTCCATGTGAACACTACACTCTATGAGTTTTATTTATTTTTTTAAACAGAAAAAGGAAAAGGAAATCGCAGAGGAAAGATAAATATTATAGAAACTCTGTGTAGAAATCTTTTAATGTAAGTAAAATAAATGAGAAGGAGTCATTTCCCTAAGGAAAATATCTCAAAAGTTGAGGAGATTCTCTTAGGTATAATCAGTGAGCTAGAACTAATACAGCAAACCATGTAAATATATAATATGTGTTGCGGGGGACAGGCTAAATGCGTGGTTAGTCCTTTATTTTGAAGAAACATGTATTTAATGCATTGTACTCCTTCCTTCAGCTTTGTTACACTCCATTGGATTAAGAGGTAACAGCAGGCAAGCTAATTTTGAAATCACATACACATGCTACATAATGGCAGGCATAGCTTTTGGAAGTATTATTTGTCATTCAAAAACCCATATTATACAAATTTTCAAAGAGTGCCTAACACTCTATCTAGTAAACTTTTCCATGACACTCGCTGCTTCTGCATAATCTTGACAATGCCCAGTCCTCCCAAGGCAGTCATGTGTGCTTTACACCAGGCTGCCTCACTCTTCCCAGCTCTTAGGACCCTTTTCTTATCCACTTATTGTCTCAGTGCAGTGAAGGAATGTCATGGGAGAATTCTTGATTATTTTGTATGTTAACTACCAACAAATATACAGGAAGAGGATTGTCATCTACATTTGCAATGATCCAGACTCATCTAGCACTGCTATCATCTTGTCAAAATGACATGTAAATCCTGATGAGCTCCAGCCTTTTATCTTTATCATAAATAGCAAGGGGAGAGATTTCACAAGTACTGATTAAAAAAAAAAAAAAGATAAAGATTTTTTAAGGTGGCTCTTGGTGCTGAAAAGACTTGCCATTTTGGAACTTGAGTCCTAGAAGTAATCCTGTGGACAGTGCATTATCGTATCCTAGCCATGACACAAGACAACAGATGCTTGGAGAAACTGGGTCATCTGGACAAGATTGCGTGATAACACGGTAGTGACAGAACCGTAGCCCAAATGGCTTGGTTACATAGTCCTTACTGTAATTCCTTTGATGACACCATTTATTCGTTCTTCCATTTTTAACTTTGGCCAAATGTTTTCCTGGTCACTGACTATACATAGATAAATACTATCTTGACCCTCATAGAAGTCATAAACCAGTGGGAGGGAGACTTAGAACCATTTGTGAGAATAGAGTAGAGAAGGAGATCAACAGAAGTCCTTTGAAACTTGAAGTTCTCTTTATCCAACCTGGGATAGAACTGTCATGGAACAGATATCAGCTAAAAAAATCCTAAAATGATAAGTAATTTCCTAAGAGGCAATGAGGCAGTGGTGACAAATGTAAGGATTAGCTCAAGGCAGGAAATAAAGATACCATGTATGGGTATCTACAAATCATTTGGTTTTCTTATGGGGTAAACATGGGACAATAGATGAGGTGACATGATGAACAAAGGCTAGAATAGATGGCAGGTTAAAGTATCAGCAGTCTCCATAGTAGGATGTACAAAATGATCTAATGAAGAACAAGGAAAAAATACTAAAGTAGTATCTATATCTATTTTATTTTGATATTATTTTTAAAGTATTTATATGTGTCTGAGTGATTTGCCTGTGTGTATGTATTTGCATCATGTGCATGCTAGGGGGTAGAAGATGCCGTAGATCTGGAGTTACAGATTATGTGAGCAGTCGTGTGGGTACTGGAAATCAAACCCTGGTCCTCTAGAAGAGGAGCAAATGCTCTTGCTGTGGATATCACTCTATATAAATAAAACACTGATGGCCAGTGACCAGGCAGGAAGTATAGGCGGGACAAAGAGAGAGGAGAATTGGGGAAACAGGAAGAAGGAGAGACACTGCAGCCACCGCCAGGACAAGCAGCATGTAAAGACGCTGGTAAGCCACCAGCCATGTGGCAAGATATAGATTTATAGAAATGGGTTAATTTAAGATATAAAAACAGTTAGCAAGAAGCCTGCCACAGCCATACAGTTTATAAGTAATATAAATGTCTGAGTGATTACTTTGTACGTGGATTGTGGGACTGCTGGGCTTGGTGGAACTTGGAGAGAAGCCCTCCAACAACAAATGGTGCCCAACGGCTCGAGTTTCCACCTTAAACCTAAAAATATTTAATAACCAATTCTAAACAGAGCCAAAATCAGGTTCCTGCTTCATGTCTCATAAGCCCTCCAACAACATGCTCTTAACTGCTGATTCATCTCTCTAGCCTTTATTTTGATACAGCTTTTTTACACAACTTTAAAATAAAATTATCATACTAATACAATAATACAGAAATTCAATTTTCATGTATGAGTTGCATGCTAAAGTGCTTTTCCTGGTAAGGCCAACTTATATTGATAAGTTTAGAAGTTACTGCCATATGTAATAGAGAGGTACTAGACACCTTTAGAGACAGTGGCACTTTAATGACATATGGCTGTCTTATAGTGGTTGTTGAAGGTTTGTGACAGATGGTGCCAGAGGTGTGAGTGGAGAGGGGCTCAATGAATTAGGATATTGCTATGAGAAAATTTAATACTCATAAGCCAAGGATGTCAAAATAGGAGGGGGAAATGGATTAAAATGATCTCAGTAGTTGAATCTATTTGGTTTAATTATAGTTGGTCTTACTATTTACCA